TTGAAAATGTTGTTGAATGAGTTACATAAGATTTCAAACAAATGTGTAGTCATGGGAGATTTTAATCAAAATGTTATGAAACAATCATCATCTGTTCAAAAACTAATGCAAGACCATGGTTACACACAGTGTGTAAGTGAAGCTACTACAGAAAAAGGAACTTTGTTAGATCATGTTTATGCAAGAAACATACAATGTGTTGAAACATACGTTAGTCCAACATATTATAGCTATCATGAAAGTGTTGTAATTAAGTTTTAATCCTCTCCACATTTTGAGCAGTAATAACTAACTCCAGTTTTGAAACCTGCACGCTACACATGTACCAGTATACCGGTACATGTATAATTTGTGTTAAATCTTAATTTGTTGGACATTTTCATATACATATTGAAGGTTGTGCTTCTCATCACAGAGAAATTGCTGTGTTGACTATTTCCGTTATGATTATATTTTCAGCAAAGAAGAAATTATAAGCTAACATGAATAATCACAAAGGAATGATTTGGCATAGTACATGTGAATCAGGAAAATGACTAATGGTTATGGAGATGAACTTAAAGTTTTGGTGTCGGTGCTCTTCAATAGCAATGATTTAGCATTATTTGTGCATCAGGACAATGAACAATGTGGCAATGTGCATGAAAGAGTTTTGGTGTTGGCGATCTTCAGTAGGAATGATTTAGCATAGTACATGTGAATCAAGAAAATGAACAATGTGGCAATGTACATGAAAGAATGTTGCTGTTGGCGATCTTCAGTAGGAATGATTTAGCATATACATGTAGTATGGGTATGTGTGAATGAAGAAAATGAACAATGTGGTGATAATGATGAAAGAGTTTCGTTGTCGGCGATTTTGAAAAATTTGGAATGTTGAACAGGGTGAAGCATTCTAGAATTTTCAGTAGGGCAGAACAGAATAGAATCTTCAGTATGGTAAAATAATATTCAGTCTTTAGTGGGATGAATATCTTCAATATAGTAAAACATTGAGGAATTTTCAGTGGAAAGAAAAAAGTTTGGACTGTTTAGCACAATAAAACATGTAGCCAGAAATGCATGTACATTGTATTTAGGGGGCTAAAATTTAATACTGTATGATATTTATGAAGGAAAAAAAGAGGTCCAAATGCCAGAAATGTGTCAATACACTGCTAAAAATGCAAGATGTTTGGTACAAATTTTGCATTGATGAAAACATTGTGTTTTATCTTGTTTTTCAATAGATGAATACCATTGCCCATTCGAACTATACCGGTAGGTAATACTGTGTGTCATCATACAATGATCACCCACACTCATCAGAACTATGGAGTGCAGTTGCTACACTCTCAACTGAGTGTGGCTCATCATTGGTCATCCAGTTCATCAAGTGATGACCACCATCAGTCATCAGAACAATTGAGTGCAGTTGCTACACTCTCAACTGAGTGTGGCTCTTCATTGGTCATCCAGTTCATCAAGTGATGACCACCATCAGTCATCAGAACTATGGAGTGCAGTTGCTACACTCCCAACTGAGTGTGGCTCATCATTGGTCATCCAGTTCATCAAGTGATGACCACCATCAGTCATCAGAACTATGGAGTGCAGTTGCTACACTCCCAACTGAGTGTGGCTCATCATTGGTCATCCAGTTCATCAAGTGATGACCACCATCAGTCATCAGAACAATTGAGTGCAGTTGCTACACTCCCAACTGAGTGTGGCTCATCATTGGTCATCCAGTTCATCAAGTGATGACCACCATCAGTCATCAGAACTATGGAGTGCAGTTGCTACACTCCCAACTGAGTGTGGCTCATCATTGGTCATCCAGTTCATCAAGTGATGACCACCATCAGTCATCAGAACTATGGAGTAAAGTTGCTACACTCCCAACTGAGTGTGGCTCATCATTGGTCATCCAGTTCATCAAGTGATGACCACCATCAGTCATCAGAACTACGGAGTGCAGTTGCTACACTCCCAACTGAGTGTGGCTCATCATTGGTCATCCAGTTCATCAAGTGATGACCACCATCAGTCATCAGAACTACGGAGTGCAGTTGCTACACTCCCAACTGAGTGTGGCTCATCATTGGTCATCCAGTTCTTCAAGTGATGACCACCATCAGTCATCAGAACTATGGAGTAAAGTTGCTACACTCCCAACTGAGTGTGGCTCATCATTGGTCATCCAGTTCATCAAGTGATGACCACCATCAGTCATCAGAACTACGGAGTGCAGTTGCTACACTCCCAACTGAGTGTGGCTCATCATTGGTCATCCAGTTCATCAAGTGATGACCACCATCAGTCATCAGAACTACGGAGTGCAGTTGCTACACTCCCAACTGAGTGTGGCTCATCATTGGTCATCCAGTTCTTCAAGTGATGACCACCATCAGTCATCAGAACTACGGAGTGCAGTTGCTACACTCCCATCGGAGTGTGATTCATCATTGGTCATCCAGTTCATCAAGGGATGACCACCATCAGTCATCAGAACTACGGAGTGCAGTTGCTACACTCCCATCGGAGTGTGATTCATCATTGGTCATCCAGTTCATCAAGTGATGACCACCATCAGTCATCAGAACTATGGAGTGCAGTTGCTACACTCCTGAGTGTGATTCATCATTGGTCATCCAGTTCATCAAGGGATGACCACCATCAGTCATCAGAACTACGGAGTGCAGTTGCTACACTCCTGAGTGTGATTCATCATTGGTCATCCAGTTCATCAAGGGATGACCACCATCAGTCATCAGAACTATGGAGTGCAGTTGCTACACTCCCAACTGAGTATGGCTCACCATTGGTCGTCCAGTTCATCAAGGCATGACCACCATCAGTCATCAGAACTATGGAGTGCAGTTGCTACACTCCCAACTGAGTGTGGCTCATCATTGGTCATCCAGTTCATCAAGTGATGACCACCATCAGTCATCAGAACTACGGAGTGCAGTTGCTACACTCCCAACTGAGAATGGCTCACCATTGGTCGTCCAGTTCATCAAGGGATGACCACCATCAGTCATCAGAACTATGGAGTGCAGTTGCTACACTCCTGAGTGTGATTCATCATTGGTCATCCAGTTCATCAAGGGATGACCACCATCAGTCATCAGAACTACGGAGTGCAGTTGCTACACTCCTGAGTGTGATTCATCATTGGTCATCCAGTTCATCAAGGGATGACCAGCATCACCACTATCATTTATCAGAACTTTGGAAGTCAGTTGCTACACTCCCATCTCAATGTGGCTCATCATTGGCAATATAGGAATGGCTGAGAACTACATGTACATGTATCGAGTGCCTAGAAACTACTGGTATGGAGTAATGTAGAAACATTAGCTGTGTTATATTTTTCTGTTATGTGTAATGATTATCCTTACTTAAGCATAGCAGTACGGGTATTCATCTTCAAATAAACTTGAATCCTCAATGCTGATTGTTCGATCCATGGCAATTAGCTGTAGGGTCCATATTGCACTTTATGTACAAAAGCATATGTAAAACAATAATTGCTGAAAAATTCTTGTACAGTGTGCATGTTCCATCTTTACTCTACCTCAAGTTTTGCTTGAAGATCTTGTGGCACTTGGGGTCATGGAACACAGGAAGTACATGTACACGTAGGCCTGTAGTCTGTCTTCACCCAACATATCTGTACCACTCGACTTTCAGCTTTGTGGCATGTGGCACACAGATGCACTACATATTCCACATTCAATTCGTGCTTGTGGGATAAGTCCAATGTTGCAACCTGACGCCACTTCTGAGTATTTCAAAATTTAACAAAATTGGAAATGTTTCACGATCCCGGATTTATGTCTTATCATTTTTGTAATGACCTTCATTTAGATGAATATACATGTATGAAGAAAACAGTTTTCCCAATTTTCAATTTAAGACGTACGTGTACATGTACATGAACATGTTACATGTACTTCCCCAACTCAATTTCCTGTCACTTTAAATCTTGGAGGGTGATAACTCAATTGCGCATTTTCTATTATATAAATAAGGAACAGTGGTATTTAGTCAAAATTCTTTACATCAAAGTTGTCTGAAGGTACATGTAACATGTGACCTGATTTTACAAAAGTTTGTATTAAACATACATCTGAAATGGCAATATATACATGGTATATGTACAATACATGTATGGAAATGCAATTCATAATCAGTAAGCTTAAAAATTAAAATTCATTCAATTCCCTATTACGGGTATTGCTTTAATACTCTACAGGATGTACATTGTACTTCTGCAACCAATATTATCAGACATAATGAAATGTTTTTTTTCAAAAGGTGTAACAGAAAGTATAATGTTTTGTAGCAACTTCTACATGTAGCTGTTGCAAATATCTTTTGTCGCAAATTATGTGGACAATGTTTTGAGTAGGCTGCAAAGGAATTTCTTTTTATTGACCAAGCCAACATGTATATGTACATTGTATGTAATATCCATTTCTGTCCTGTTCACATTGAGATTAGAATGATGAATTGTTTGCTTCTAGGTAAGTTTATCAGCGTCACAGCTTCCAATTGAATTCATTTGATGCAGTACATTTATGATTGTATGGAGGGGGTAAGGGTTTCGAGGTAGTGTGGTGATAGTGTTGATGTAATACATGTGTACATGTACATGGCAGGTTCTTCAAAATATAGAACATTTAACAACCTGTCATTGCATTTTTCAAAAATTAATTTCAGATGTTTCAAAACAACCGACATCATGACATACATCTTGAAGTTCATAAAAATGCACATGTAGGGATAGTTTAGGCAGAAGTTCGCTTTTTATTATCGTTTTGGTAAGTATAGTAATTACCAGTAAAAATCAAGGCAGTTTGTATCTTTATGTAAAAGTTGTCAAGGTAAGGGCTTAGAGACAAAAATGTTTTTTTGAATCACGTGCCCATAAGTAGACTTTCATATAAAATTAATGAAATCACACAAAACAAGACCCATGCAGAAATTCAGTTCGACAAAGAAACACATAATTTTGACAGAAAATCAAGGCAAAAACTGCCTTGTTTTTATGTAATATTGGCACAATACGAAAACGATTCACCTTACATGTTTTTCGGCCAACATACATTGCATTTGTGTAAAAGAATCCATTTAGCATGCTCTATTAAAAAGATTCATATTCTGAAACATCGTAGTTTCGAACGTCAGAATTGACGGAATTTTGATGACGTTCGATAATTTGGACGGACTTTGAATGACGTTCGAGAATCGTTTTCATTTTGACGCACAGTCGGCTTGACAAAGGATGTTACATATTCCAAACGATGTTCATTGCAGAAAACAGAATAATGAACGTCACGAAGTACAATTCAAGAGTTCATAGTCAGGTTTTACGACAGTTCCACCTGCACCTCACAGAAATTGATAATGACACGCACACCCCAACTCAGAATTGGTCCCGGGCATCGAATACTGTAGATTTTTGTTATCGACTGGTACCCTGCAAGTCACGTGCTTTTTGCAGTTTTTGTGAAGAAGAAAAATTGACGATCGGAGGATCAACGGCTGAACTAACCACATAAGTTTTTAGTTGACGGAATTAGCATGACGTTCGAGAATTGCTGTCACGTCGTTCTTTGCGGGTGAACAATTAGTTTTAGGCGCAAAGTGATCATATTAAATTGTGTAGTCAGCTCACTCAGCTGTATTAACGGAGATAAAAAGTTAGGAAAACTCGGGAAGAAAAATCTCTATCTTGCAATCCTGTGCACTCGTCTCTAAATATTAGCAAGCGCGGCTCGCACACGTCATGCTATTTCTATCAAGCAACTTTGACGACAACGCATTATCCGTGAGAAGTTTGGAACCTGGTGGGAAACGTCCAGTGAATTTGATTGGGGTGAATAAAGGGTAATGACTTACCATTATGCAATTAAAAGGGTTGTTGATACTTCACGCAAACGCATACGAATGCGAGCTAACCGTGAAGACGTCATAATGGAAACTTGCGCAAATGAAACGTTATTCAAACAAGAGCAAATCCGTCATTCGCCGCGAAATCAATCTGCCGTAAAACTTCACCGGCTGGCTGGGCATTCCCGTTTGCGTGAAGTATGGACATGACATATCGTGAAATAATAATCATGTTTGCAGTGAGAAGCGGGTCAGGTCATCACAAGAATTCTGCAGGTTGGCGAACTGACAGCAGTGGTGGGTCGCATTGTACGGTATCTTCGCGAACTCAGCAACAATAATTTTATCAATATCAAATCCACTAAATTTGGAATAATTTATCAAATTCAGAAATTGCATGATATTTTCCTATGCTTCAACACCCCTACCATGGTGTAGATTTTCGCAAATGAAAAGAACACTTGCAGATTACCTAGTCACCTGCCATGTTCTTCAAAAATACGAAGCAAATCGAGTACAGAAATTGTTAAGATTTGCGAAAATGTAAATTTAAACACATTTCAACTTTAGAAAGTCATCCCACAAGCAATTAAATCACTGCTAAGTTCACTTGGCACTCACGTTTGCATGAAGTATGAACACGACTTATCATGATAATTGAAATGCTTGAAAGGGAGCAGACCATCACAGCAATTCTGCTGTTTGAAGTAACAGCAACAATAATTAAACAACAATAATCAACAATAATTTTAATAGCAACAAACTGCAAAGTCCGGTTTGTACTTCATGCAATCACGGATGATGGACATTGGAGGCGACAATTTCGCTTCCGTTCACGTTCACAATGAACCGGATTTTAAGAATATTGCGCAACATTCAAACATTTAACACTTGAAGTAACAATTCGTCACCGACACCACGAAGTGACCTTAACCCCCGCGAAGTGGAAAATGTGTGTTTCGAGATACAAGCGATTTAAGTTGGTGATGTTTTGAAACGGTGATCTGAACATCGTAGCCTCAAAATTCATATTTTTTTACATTGTCTGAAAGCTGGGATCTTGAATGTCACGTTTATGTATGATTTTTATTGAAAACAAATAATATTAACGAGTTATCAACTAATTAACCTTAACGTCACTTCGTAAAAACTCTAAAATCAGAATACGCGCTGTTCGAGTTTTCACGAAGTGAGGCTAACCATGACAGTATTAGCTAATGGGTTAGCGCTACTTCGTGATGACGCCAGAAGTGAGTCGCGCGTATCACGTGACATTTGTGTTACTTCGTGAAAACGCAAAACCCGTTTTTGACGCGTAGTGTGCAGGCAGTTTACATGCAAAAGAATGGTATGGTACACTTCGTGAAAACGCATTTTCCGGTTTTGACCTATTAAGTTGCAAACGCTCATTAATGTTAATTAATGTTTTGACAAAACTAATTACAGTGTAACTATGTGTTTAGTAACTTCTTGAGGTGATAGATTATATGTAATTAATCACAAATCAGGAAAAAAATCGAAATCGTAAAATATTGATTTGTTGATGTTAGTGTCACTTCGTGGTGACGGTGACGAATTTATCGAAGTGTCAATTTATAAATTCACTTAATATTTACTGAATAACGACATTTCGTTTTATATGGCCTAAGCATATACCACTACAACTAAGGGGCTTTCTATGTCACTGTTATTGAACACGCTAGATTCATTTGACTGTTTATCGATGCTCGACCAAACTCACAGTTGATTTGAAACATTAAACGTATTAATACAACGATTGCGATCCTCTGATGTAAGGGTCATCTTGATTCTGCTTCCTATAACCGTCCATTGTGGGTCAACATGACAAAGATAATCACAGCGGTTCTGCCATGACGTATCTTCATTGTCGGGCCATACGTAGTAAGAGCCTGACTTTGAGAGATACGATAGACACATTGCCGTCTCTGTGACATCCATCACCTGTAAGAAAAAAATAAAAATCGATAAGTCAGCAGTCTTTGCGAAAAAAAATATAATGCGCTTAAAAGTATTGTCATACATGTTTGTTTATTTTTGAAATGCTTACTATGGCCTACCTTCGCTAAGTACCAGTCAGATGTACCTCGCTTCCCGTGTAATTTAACAGCAACAAAGTGACCACATTCTATGGCATTCGGTCGAATGGAGGCTGGATCTGATGTAACAATAGACAAGGTAAGTCGCCTGATTAAAATTTAAAAGAGGAATACAAAAACATTGCAGGAGGACGCAAAACGAAGGCAAGTATTACCCGAAGGCGGGGGTACAGGAGAGGCACTCCGAGAAGACTGACGAATTGGAGCCGATTGCGGTTCATTTACACTCTCCAGCTCTGATCCTACGGACGCGTCATTTATTTCAGTCGCTGCTTTCGACACTCCTGTAACAACATTATTAATAAACTTAAATTAATAAAGAAGAGAAGTACAAGGGTAATAAAGAAAAGAAATATGTCACGGAGAAAAAAAATGTTTAAAGTAATAAAAAATAAAAGCTCACTCACCTTTTCTGTTCCTCGCGTGTACATTTCTGATTGCTTTTAGGCTCAACTGCTTTATCTCGAACTTGCCTCCAGTGTAAGTCGCGTTCGTACACATTTCGTTGTTGTTGAGAAGGCACGGGAAGCAAAAGCAGGACAATCGGCGCACCTTGAGCTTATAGGGGGCAGCAACCTGAATCTGATGGTATCCACGAGATCCCTTGAGTGTGGTGACATCCGTTTCGGGTCTCTCTCTGCTAATTTCATCCTTTGCCACGTACACAAAGGACCGTTTTGAATACATCGAATCACTGGCCAAATTTGCACAACACCACCCCCACATATCCTTAGCTGAATTAAGCACAACTTTGCGCCCCAAAATAGCTTGATCAACTGCTCGATTTACCACCCCAATTTCTCCATCGCCCTCTCCCTTTCCATGTTCGGATCCAAAGTAGTTGCGTTCTCTGGCATCTGACGACAAGCTTAGATCGGCAAAAGTACCTTTCCCTTTATACTGACTTTGGCACCCGTCACTCCAGAGCACTTCTTTGTCTACTTGTTGCATGTTGCTTGCGAGGTGTTGCGAGGCCATGTTCAGGTAGTGTTCAACGGCGTGGTAATCATGGCGGATATCGTCTGAGAGAAAGATCATAGAGTCCCGAACGAGAGTGCCATTTTGTCGATAATACATAACGACTGGGTGCATCGTTATCTGCATCTGTCCGTAGTATGCAGCCTTGATCTCATCCTGGTAGAATACCTTCCTGTTTTGCCCAAAGTCCATAACCATCATCGCCCAATTTTCAGGGAGGTGTTCTTTCAAGTTCGAGTACTGCCGGTGCTGCCATCTTGCCGTGACAATGTGCTTTACAAACGAAACACCTTGAACAGGCCTCTCAGCATCGTTTATTAGTTCCTCGAGAACGTCGCCCATCGACCCTTGCTTGGTTTTGAGCACACGGCGTGGTTTTCCTTCTATGACCTCCACTCTTTCCCAATGGAGCCAATTCCACGTTCCCCTTGCTTCTTTGATGACAGGCTCGTACATCTTTCGTATGGTGTCACCCAAATTGCCACATTTGTCACAAGTACCAAACACGCACTCCTCATTTTGAAATCTCTGAGAATCTGAAACCGGACACAACAACTTGTTGACAAACTCGTACTCATCAGCTATCTTCACGACTCCACTTGTTGACTTTGTTGTGTTGATGACTCTGTTAACAACCATCAGCTTGTACTTAATGTTCATGCAATAAACGCAAGTACACACTTCGTGGTGAACCTTTGACAGCAGACGAACATTCTTGGGTCGTAAGAAGGTGAACTTGGAGTAGCTCACTCTCGAGTCGGGATACTCTTTTTGAAACATTCGGTGGGCGGCTGTCAGTGACATTTGCAAGACATGTCCAGGACCGTGTTTGGTTGCGTACCTCTTTAGTGGTAATGGCCTAGAAATATCTTCCCGAAGATAAAACGATGTTATCTTCTGTCGCAGATGAACTGACATCTTCCCACGTCCCACATGTCGTCGATTTCCACTGGTGTGTATCGCTCTTCGGATTGTTCCGGAGTTTAGCTTTAAATGTTTGCTAATTTGTACTTTGGTTGCGAACTTGATTGAAGCACAGGCGAAATGCTTTAAAGCTTCCCTGCCCCCTTTGTTTTGCTTTATTTTTTCCGCTATTTCCTTTATTTTGGGACTGAATGTCGTTGCTTCGGTCAGTCCCTTGTTTTTGAGAGCCTTCTTTTTTCGCGGTGATGAGTTTTTGACTAGTCCGCAGACAACTGATGCAAATTTTTCAGGTGATTTGGGGAGAGCCTTTCGCGCCTTTGTTGTGTGATTTCTGAGAGTTTTGAGTGACTGGTAGCCTTGACGTTCAGTGTTTTGTTGCTGTTGCCGTTCTTGTTCTTTTCTCAGAAACTCTGCTCGTTTTTGTCTTTTCCGGTTTCTATCCTTTTCCTTGATTCTTCTTAGTTTTTGCGGCCTTTCTTTGAGCCTTTCTCTCTCAGCTTGTTTTCTCTCTCGCCAGTAGGCTTGTTTTGCTTCTGTGGCCGCTCTTGTTCCTGTTGTTGGCGCTCTTGTTGGGGCTGGTGTTCTGTCCGTGTCACGTGGTTTCCTGAAATTTATTTTCACTTTAGGTGGATTCTTGTTTTGATTATTTTTTTTCTTCTCCATGTACTTCTTTTTCCTCGCTCGCCCTTGTTCGCGTTTTCTTTTTAGTTGTTCGAGCGCAGCTACAGACGGTTTTCGTTTCGCTAAATCTTCTTTAAATTTGTCCCTACGTTGCTTGGCAGCCTTCGCTTGCGATTGAAGGTATTCCTCATATTTTGGGGGATTGTTATGTTTCAGTTTGTTTCGATAGTATGTTGCCTTGCTCATTTTTGAAGATGAAGGTAAGTATTACGGGTGGTTAGTAAGCAGATGATTTTGGATATGGGATTGGGATGGTGTTAGTGCAGTGCAGCTTTTGAATGAAGTGAGGCTATGAAAGGTGGGGTGCAGCTGTGGTAGATGGAGATGGATCTAAAAAAAAAAAAGACGAGCGTGAACAATACAAAAAAACAAATATATAATAACAATTCATAATGAATGCGTGCAAATGAGACTTTTGTTAAAAGTGTTTTATTTTGGCATTATTTTCTAACTTTCAAACACCATGGCACACCCAATTAAAAGCTGTGAAATTCGTTTCGCCGTATATACAGTTTTGCCCGATTTCCGGACACTTTCCAATTACAACCTGGTACATAATTATATATTCAAGCTACAAAAGTTAATTGACAAAAATGTAAGTCAGTTTCAGATGCATCCATTGAGAAATATTCATAAACCTCTAGGCGTACCCAAATAATAATACAGTTCCGATAACGTACGCCTAAAACTGCACTTAAAACTTTGATTTTTTTTAGATAAAATTTGGGGTAAATTATTTCCCCTAAAACAAATGGTTTACGAAGTAAATGCCATTCAAGAGCTGAAATATATCTTGAAATTTGATCAAAATCACATTTTTTTACTCTTAAAACAAACACACTAAACCTCTCCCTCGGTTTAAAGAAACCCAGAGACGGCATTTTGATTTTTTCCGTCAAAATGACGCTCGATATTACTATCCGTCAAAACGTGACTGACGTTCGCGTCATATTTTACAAGTCTGTCAAATAAATGACGTACGCAAAACAATCCGTCAATATACTGACGTTCGTAACTTTCTTTACCTGATCACGCGCGCGTATAACGTTTCCAAGTATGGCCGCTCACGCCGCGAACTCTCAACGCACTGCGCCGTGTTTTTAAGCCCTATTTTTTGTCTCCAGAGCATTCTGGAATTGTCTTGCCAGAGTTTATCTGTTCTCGATCGTCATATTTATCGTACGTCAGATATTTGACAGATTTTATTCAAGCTGATCTATCGTAATATACAAAAGTTTGTGGAAGTTTGGAACTTACCGTGCGTGATGCATCAGCGATGTATGAAAAGGAAAGTCGCTTAGTATTATGGGTCGGGTCAAGGTTCATCACGTGCGCAGCAGCTAAGTTTTATCGAACGTCAGCGTCTTGTTGACGGACACATATATTTTCTCGCTACACGAATTTGAAGAATTGTTTGCGTGAAATGATAAGTAAGTAACATGGTTATTTAGATATCGAATTAATCTGTGTAATATAAGGTTTCTGACACGAAATCGCCAACTTCGTTTGATTTTTTATTTTGTCTCAAATTTCACGTGTTAAATTTTGTTGACAGTGTGACGGAATTTCATGACGTTCGCAACTGATTTAATTTATAACGATAATTCCGTAGAATATTAAACATTTCGAGTTTCTTTTTCGTTTGTAAACTATTAGAAGAAATCGTCTGCTACATCGACATATTAAACAAAAAACCTTTACCGTTAACACCATGATGATTGGAAAACAGTTAACTGATAAATTCCTTCCCTGGCCCGAGGGACTTAATTCCGTCAAAAATGCTGACGTTCGGGACTCGTTTTTGAAAGTTCCAGTTTAAGTGGAGGGACTTGAAGAACAACGTTATAGTAAATATAAATTTAGGTGTCTTTCAGCACATTTCACAATACAAAACATTTCTACAACGTGCACTTTTGAAAATCGGAGTGTGTCAATTTCATTATTATTTATTGCACCACAATTCAAGGAACCTGCCACATGTATGTACAAATGTGTAGGGACATTTATTGACTTTTATGTTGGCTTTTAATAAAACTGACCCTCCTCCTTGACACATCATCCTGAATCCTAATTACCTTCCATCATGCCCATCCCACACCCTACATGTACCTTCAACCTCCCTTCTTACCTTTAACTACAAGCCATGGCCACTGAGCCGAGGGGGGGGGGGGACGACAGCCCCATCCCCCCTGAAACCTTGTCGACCCCCGAGTCGCCCCTCACTGAGATTTTGAGTTTCTAAAAAAATTATCATTTATCTACATGACGCCCCCCATGAAATGTTCCAGCCCCCCATCGGCCTCCCCCCCCCCCCCCCAACTGAAGAAATTCCTGGCTACACCACTGGCCATGGCGCCTTCGTCATTCCAGTTAAATTACAAATGTTTATACCGTATCTTAAACACATTGGTTCCATTAGTTATGGTAGTCCTACTGGTACATGTATATTGTGTTCAATAAGCTAGTCTCACAGGACAGAATAATATCACCTGGGATGAAAAAGTTTACATAAATGTACATTTATTAGACATATTATCCTCATTATTTACAAATTATATTCAACTGTGTTAATTCACTATTTATCAAAATCCAATAGAATTTCAACATTCCTCTGAATTAAACTGTAAAGTAAATAAAAAATTATCTTCAAGCAAACTTAAATCCTCGATTCTAATTGGTCCATTGAAACAAACATAACAATGTCACATGGCCACAATCCATACGGCACTCTGAATATTGAGCCAGTAAGATACGCACACCTTTCTGTATACACCATGCATGTGTAATTGTCTCCTAAAAAAATTTCTGTAGGGCGTGTGTGTTCCATTTTTACTGTGCTTCAAGTTTGCTTGAAGATAAAAGGGAAATTTTTTGTTTTATATTTATACTTGATATTTGGAAACTTCATATCAATTCAATTACTACTCGATTTCAAATATATATATAAATTTTAGAAATCATAAATGCTGTTGTATTTCAAATCATTTACATACATGTATACCTTTTGAAAAATGTCTATGCAAACAACTTCTTTTAGATGAACCATTTGTCACTTGTTTATAATGTTGCCTGACTCAAAAAGTTTTGTAAAATTACATTGTGATACAATGCAAGAGAAATATCAATAAACATTTGAATCATGTATTTACAATGTACTGTTTACTTGGTTACAAGATTATGTTCTTCATGTTACTCCAAGTTGGAAAATAAATTAATACAAATGTATCAGTACGCCCATAGTGTCACAAGTTTATGTACATGTGCGCTTTTCCGAAGGCATTAAATGTACATGTATGCAATTATTGTGTACTATTAAATCAGCAAAACACAACAAACAGTGTATAGCAACGAGCAAACAAAAGCCAGGCTACCTGCATGAAGTTAACGCTTTTGTACAGAGTTGTCGGGGTTTTTTTTTAAAACAAAAACAGTTCATCATGTCGCGCGTACGTTTTCGTTCTGTAGATTAAACCATGATTAAACTGAAAATAAATAGGCCCCTACTTCATTAAAATATTCTTAAATCCTTGGTTATAAAGAAACATTGATTGGAAATCTGGAAAGGAAGTTTTGTCAAGTTAACTTTGCTCCGTGAACCATATATGAAGAAAGAATATACATGATGTATAACGTCAAAACATTGGGCAAGGAACCAGAACAGTCGCAATGACTTCCGAACTTTCCGGCGAATTTGAACAAGTCATGTTTCACCAAGGCACCAGCAGAGGGCAGCATATCACTTGACAGGCCTCGGCCGGGGTACTGCATGCTCGAGCGGGGCACGCGACAAGTGTAAAAACAATGAAACTTACGTGGCTCAGAGAATATTCCACACTCGGCGTATATAAATTGGGATGGTCTCTTTTTCAGGACACCTCCAAAATTAATATAGAGCCGTGATTGGGTAGATTGCAAGTCGTTTTGAAATATATAGTTAATCAATTTGAAGATAAGCAAGGAAAACATTTCAGGACACCTCCAAAATTAATACAGACCCATAATAGGGTAGTTTAAAGTCGTTTTGAAATGTAAAATTGATCAGTTGAAAGTGAATAATTCACGTCAAAATGAAATAATGACATGATCATGACGTCACTGCAATTTTCGTCTATAACACGTCCCGGAATACTTGCATACCAAGTTCGAACCCAATTGGACCTCCGGTTCTGTAGATCATAGGGCCTTAAAGTATGTACATTTAGGATGACGTCATGTGACATGTGATGACGTCATAATGACGTCATGATTCGGCATACATCTTCAAATTGTTGTATAAGTGTGTGCCAGGCTTGAAGTCGATCGGACCGTATTTTATATAATTTTTGCAAAATTTGAAGAAAATATTAAAATTTGAAAATTCATAAAAATTCAGCTGATGACGTCATGATCACGTCACTTCAGATTTTTTGAATGCTTTTATCTATACCTACCTACCCATCAAGTTTCATAACGATCGGACATACTCTTATATGTGAATCACAAAATGACGTTTTGATGACGTCATGATAACGTCACACATTTTATGAAATTTTGTGCATCTATCTTTCACCTAACAAACATGTTACAAAAAGAATTTTAAATTTACCACATTCCATTGATGAGATTTGAGTAAAAGGTCCAAAAATTGCATAATTTATATAAAATCATATGATGACGTCATCGTCGCGTCACTGCAATTTTTGTCTATAACACGTCCCGGAATACTTGCATACCAAGATTGAACCCAATTGGACCTCCGGTTTTGTAGATATAGGGTCTTAAAGTATGCACCTTTAGGATGACGTCACGTGACACGTGATGACGTCATGATGACAAAAAGTTTTGGCATACATCTTCAGATGATAGTCTAACTGGGCGCCAGGTTTGAAGTCGCTCAGACCTTATTTCATATAATTTTTGCAAACTTTGAAGAAAATATCAAAATTTGAAAAATTCATAAAAAATCAGGTGATGACGTCATAATGACGTCACTTCAGAATTCGAATGATGTTATCTATACCTACCTACCCACCAAGTTTCATAAAAATCGGACATACCCTTATATGTGAATAAAAAAATCACGTTATTGATGACGTCATGATGACGTCACACATTTTACGAAATTTTGTGCATCTATCTATGACCTAACAAACCTGTTACAAAAAGAATTTCGAATTTACCACATTCCGTTTAAGAGATATGAATAAAAGGTCCAAAAAATGAATAATTTATATAAAATCACACGATGACGTCATCATGACGTCACTGCAATTTTCGTCTATAACACGTCCCGCAATACTTGCATACCAAGTTTGAACCAAATCGGACTTCCGGTTCTGTAGATATAGGGCCTTGAAGTATGCTCTTTTAGCATGACGTCACGTGACACGTGATGACGTCATGATGACGAAAAGTTTCGGCACACATCTTCAGATGATAGTCTAACTGTGCGCCAGGTTTGAAGTCGATCAGATTTGAAAAAAGGCAAAAAGTGACTTGTAGAACGAAAACACGTGTTATCCTATGAGAAAAAAAGTGGAAAAAAAAAAAAGGGAAAAAAAAAATAACAGAAACAAGAGCTGTTTCGGCGTGTACACCGAAACAGCTAATAAATAAATCCATAAACCATATTAGTTTCAAAAAAGCAACAACACGTTTGGTCATCATTTTATGTGCTGACATTGTGTACAAAAAATCAACAGAACGATTCCTTTTTATTAAACTTGCACTTATAAAAACTACAACTTGTATTTCCTGACAATTCAGGAATTATCAACCATACAACCAAGTACCCACACAATGACATTTTAACCAAGATCAATAATTGGTCAAAATAAATTAAATCTGGCGAAGACAATTTAATTACCTGCGAAACTGAAAAGGTCCGTCTCCTCATCTGCTTTCTTTCAGTTCCACTCTGCCCATCATTGTTGAACTGTCTTCAATCACTTGGTCATGCACCTGTTGGATGAGAAAAAAAGGAACGCTCAGGGACATAAACAAAGATCCATGTAAACAAACACAAGTTATTATACACTGCACTGTGACGAAACTTCTGCCAACATTCAATTAAGATATAGCCATAAATCTGTTTTCATTTTTGCGTTTTGTTAACGTTGTGAATGAACTGGGCACTGGCCATTGTGTCTGTTGTTCGCACAAGTACAAATGAATTTAAAAACCACTGTTTTATGTGCGATGACTGCAATCAGAGCTACATCTCTTCAAGTGTTATTGACTTGAGAATAAAATTATCGGTTTCGGCCATTACTTAGCCCAGAATGTATTTTTTGTCGACATATACATACCAGCTACGGCACTGCGAGTACTGTCCGAAAGCTTTCAAACTATGACGTATCCTGGAAAGTCACACATAACTCCATACTAGTCGACAATCCATGCTGAGTTTGGCTCCTCCTCAATTCCTGTGTGAATCATTGCTGAGTGGGGTTTCGTCATCTGTGAACTCTTGTAAACTCTTCTGGAATTTTGAAAAGGATTTTTTCAGAAGCTGAAAAAGTGAGATTAACTACCCTACCTGTCCTACCTGCCAAACTTAGAGTAGACTCTGCATACTCCCCCCCCCCAAAAAAATATGCAAACCATGTCTACACAAAACAAAAACAAGTTTATGTAGAAATACCACCTGCCTATGCAATGATTGATTAGGCCAATAAATTTACGTAATTACTCACTCCCTGCACCGTGAGTCCATTTTGTTATTGCACCATTCTCAGTACAGGCTACAAACATCTGTATAATTATCCATGCTTGCATTTACCTTAAGTTTTGGTATAGAAATTTGTGTTATACATTCTCACTATTGTCACAGCAACTTTTAGTTTTACACAAAGATTCAAGGAACTACACAACTTCCTCCGTTTTGTGACTTGTACACGTACATGAGCGACCGGGTGGTGATAGCAACATGTGAAATCGAAATTGGGAGTGTATATCCTCCACTTGATAGGCCTATTCCCTATGGAAGATAACCCA